AATCAAACGTGCTGAATCTGATTTCGACTATACGGTAAGTCCTTGTTTGTCGTGCATTTTGCGAAATATTATGTGGAACTTTTAAAAAAATTTCTATGATCGTGCTTTTGAGTTATTTTGTTTGTTTTCTTTGGAACAGTTTTGAACCATCGAAATGACATCGTTAAAAATACTTGTTGAGATGAGTTCTGAAGGTGATTCTGTGATGTCAATAAGGTGCAATCAGTCTGTAAAAGAATCGATTTTGACATTAGTGTAGTTCAGAAAATATATCGTATCGGTTCAAAGTGGTATTTCCGTGCTTGTCCTGAACTACCCGGTCGTCGATTCCACTATCGTGCATACTGCCTTGATGACCTTAACGGTACAATGCCCCGTCATTCTGAACCATCATCATCCCAGACGGTTTGTTTGTGCTCAGTCTTACTGCATTTTAATCATTTCTAAAAATGTGATAGCTATGTGGATAGATATTCATTAAAGAATTTCTTTTATTCATTGGGTATCCGTGAATCTGTCTTCTAATTAATTTTCCATATCGATGTTCAAAAACACATTTCATCAGTACTGAGAGAAGGATACTGGCTATCTGATAATGAGCCTAAGCTCGAAGGATATTTGAGTACAGTCCATCAGTCATATCGACTCGGTTTCATCTGAAAACAATTTCTAAAATAATTTTTGCCATTTCAACGCCGTCAGCTGATCGCACTTATGCTTCTTATATTCAAAACAGAAACGTTCATATTACTGATCGTTGATTAAATTAGGCAGTCGAGCGCAGCGATGATCAAACACAGCAAAGCGTTGTTGATCGGAGCAGTGGAACGCGATCTTGTCAATTGTCCATGAATAATGCCTCTCTATGGGAGGACTCAGCAAACAACAACGTTGATACGACGATACATTTGGTGGATATTGGCACTCCTGAAACGGTAATTATTCCACTCTGCATCTGTTCGTCTGCTTGCGTTTAGGATTATTCATTTCATAGCAAACGGATTTTTTTTTGAATAATTCTTTTTGATTCTTTGATTAGCTCCTTGCTGGATGTATTTAAAAAAAAAGAATTCTCCCATTGATGTGAAAAAGTTTCGGCGGTTCGATTGGAGTATATTGTATGAAGGATGCTTCGACGGTAAGGCAGAGTTTTTGAATGGCGTTAGTGTGGCCGATTGGCTCGTTTTACTCTTTGATATGATCATTGCAAAATGTAATTGATGAAATAAAATATCGTACAGTAGATTTTTTATTTCCATTAATTGTTCAGTTTACTAGTCGAATGATTCGTTGCAGTCATAAAAAAGAAATCAAATCTTTCAGAGTATTCTACAACCCACATCAGCGTCAGTCAATCAGCCACAGCAACAACCATCACCCAAACCAGTAGTGTCAGAATCCACTCTGGATTTATTGTCTGAGGTTGATTTCACGGCACCCAGTAATCTGCTCGATATCAACGAGCCGTACCTCTCAGCTGAACCTCTCGTGCCAATTCGATCAACTCAAACGTCTTCGTTCGGTTCGCGAGCACAATCAACGACTATCGGCGACAATAAAAATGCTGCCAATACGATGAACAACAGTACAATGACCACTTCGAATAGTCAACAAAATGTGGATAAAACTCCTCTGGAATCCGCGGCTACAGCTGATTCCGAATCGTTCGCATCGTTGTCAGGTTTTTGCTTAGTTCACAACATCCCAACAGAATCCTATTCAAAGCCATGTCCTTCGAATTTGGCATCATCAAAGCAACAACAACAGCCTTCATCTACTCACGACTCACTCAGTTTAAGTGATGGCGAAACATTGGTTCTCATTTCGACACCTCCATCATCTGTTAAAATCAGTGATGTGAATACGACTCAAAATGAAAAAAACATAAATAATACTCAACAACGACTTGATATTGTGCAGTCAGCAGCACTAACAAATTCAACACTATCATCAAATGCCAACGAATTCGATGATACGTTAACGTCAGACAGTCTTCCTCAATTGCAACTATGCAAAAAATATGATGTGTTTGATGAAGAAAAAGCATCAAAAATGTACTTCGAAGTGATCAGCAAACCGAAACAAACGCTTGAGGAGGAATTAATCGGTGGATTTGAAGATGAACACGAACATTATTTTGATACATCGTAAGTTTAGCGTCGTCTCTTGGCTTATTTAAGTTGCGTTGCGGTCGAATAAATTAACTGTATCCACTGCTTGAGTGGGTTGTTTTTCATTAGGCGTTCGTTATTTGAACGCCTAATTTTTGGCCTCGTATAACTTAAATCACAACGATATCATCACAATCAGTCATTGTTGTAACTGTCTTCTCAACAGTTTTTCAAACGAATTGCGAACGACTAAGTGTAAATATCGTTTTTGATATACGAACACTGTGCCGACGTCTTATTGATGACTTCTTTTTTTAGGGAGTATTGAACAATGTTCCCGACTAGAATGTTAATACTGCCAATTATTTCAGTGAAACGATTCAACATCAGTTCGGAAGTGTTGTTTCGCATGACGGTACGAGAACGTCGCCAACAACCAAAAATGTTCCGAATGGTAAAAGTGATGCCGATATTGTTGCACCCACTCTGAAAACATCTTCAAAAGCGGGTGAGTTCCGAATTTGTCAAATTCGAGATAGTTATTCACTGTTCAGATGGATGGATCACTTATGTAAAGAACACTTTTTTGGTGTGTTAAATTTCTTTGCATTGATGCAGTTTCGTTTCACTGAATGCAATATTCATCACTGAAGTGATGGATCGTGTTTGCAGTGGACAGTGATCAAAGCAAGTCAACATCAACTACAGAGGAAAGTCAAGGCGATGTTCATTTCGTGAAAACAAACGAAAGCCTTGCAGAAGTTCTTCATCGGTTGACTGCTGCTGGCGATCACCCACAAAACTCATCACAACCCCGCCTGAGCAAGTCGTCCGAGCAGATTGAAGGGGAAAGTTCGGATTATGACGTGGACGACGATACGGTTCGATGCAATTCAGAGCGTTCGCTGTATGCGATTCGAGTACCAAGAAGAGCCGACGATAATGAGGTTGGTCTGTTCAGAATGTGTATGTTCAGGTCAAAACCGACAGGAGTGTAGTGAGGAGATATCCGCTCTATGAAAGGTTTCTTGGATAAGGAAGTAACGATGTTACCGAGAACAGCAGAGAATATCCGGCGATTGATGTTAACAATAAGCGGAAATTGCCTTCAGTGAAAAATTGTCTTTAATACTAACAGTAAGCAGAAAATGAAAAGTACGGAAACTGTCTCTTTTTTTAAAATCTGTTATGTGTGGAGCGATTTTGATCATTGTTTTTGATTTGTTTATTCGATAAAAAAATTCATAAATACGTTCGGCTCTGAAAGCAAATAAAGTATTTCTTATCAGCGTCAATGAGAGAGATAACAGTCACGTGTTGCTTTTAGAAACATTTTTATTGCTGTCTTTTTATCGTCTTTTGCAATAGTAACAAACCCTTTTTATGAAGCATTGCGTCGAAAGTTTCCCTCCATTAGGAGAATTTTGCAGCCTTTATCAGCTGCGAAAGACGTTAAAATTTTATGAACATTTGTAATTTTCATTGTTTGTTTTTTATTCTCCCTCGGTAAACGGTTTTCGTTGGACACAAATTATCACATTAAAATTTTTGCAGATTCTACACAGTCTCATTCGATTATTTGGTGCAACAATTTCGTTGTTTCTTTGAAAGCGATGAATGTCATATGTTTCTGTTGAAGAATTCA